CGCCGACAATCACAAAATCCAGACAACGTACGCCTTTCGACTGTCAAGACCGAAATGGGTTGAAATCCTGCGTATTTTCATTATTTAAATTAATTTTATGCCGAATCAAGAATCGCCCTCCCTTAACGAAGTTTATCTCCAAAAAATAACATGTAAAAATTCATACAATTGAACAAGATTACGAACACAGTAAAACCTTTTTTCTTGATGTTTAAACTCAATTATTGTAGAAAATGAGAAGAATTAAAAATGAGCAGAAAGCGGTTAGTTTGAATCGCCCAATAATCGATAATAAAATCACTTATTGATTGACTCTATTTATTACTCTTCTTTACAGAATCCTTTCTTCTTTTCTATTTGTACAGAACTTGTAGTTCTAATTCGGTACCAATTATAATTTCAATAATGCCTTTTTTTATTATGACCCTATTAAGACCCTCTCGCTTATGTATCAAATTTATGTGTTTTTAGGGTCATAATAAAAAAAAAGGCATTATTGAAATTATAATTGGTACCGAATTAGAACCTATTTCGCCCTCAGGTAATAAAAGATCAGATTAGTTTCGAATGGAACCTGGTCCGAGTAAAATATCTCCGCTCTTCAAATAATGGTATTAATTTGTGAGTAATCTTAAATTCCTGTTCTTTTTTCGTTAACTTGTTCGATCTCAAACAATAATTTTTAGTTGTTTAAAATAATATTTCTTTCATTTAGTTTATTTTTATTGGTAAAGGTTATATTCATATTCAGTTATATTCTTTCATTCATTTCAATGTATAAAATAAATAAAATAAACACTTATAAAAAGAAGGCACAGCTTAAGACGAAGTTGCAGAGTAGGTGTATGTCTCTGTTTAGCTATTTCAAACGAACCATTGTGCGTTGATAGCTATTCTTAAGAATTATTTTGAATCCCTTTAATCTTTGGAGTTTAGTTGGTACCTCACTTCGATGTACTTCGCGACAAAAGGTGTAGTGGTCTGACAATTGGTTTGTACAAGAGTAGAGTGCATTTGGTTTTTGATTCCAACTTATGCTAGCTAAAAGTACCTATTTTTTTCGAAAATCACAAAACCCTGGAACAACTTCACCGAACAAAAAGGTTTCTTTGGAGGTGACACTCTGATCGATCAATCCTGCCACAAAAATATGAATGTTGAAAAAAAAGGGATTGATTTGTTAATCGTTAAGAGTGACGAATGAGATGAATGAGATAGTGAAGTCCCACTCTTGGAGAGAGGTAAAAAACGAATTAGAGATAGTTAGATAGGTAGGTAGGTGGATATATANTGGAACTAACTTTTTCATCTCAAACAAGGCCTTAGTTAAAAAGGAATAATTAATTGAAATTATAATAAATGATAATTTAAGTTCCCTTTCACTTATTTTTATTAATCATCCTTTATCATCTTATAATTTACGATGTATGTAAACATTTAATTTAGATTTTTTAACAATAATTGAATTAACTCAAATTAACTAAGTCATAAGAAATTATTTCTGGGTTCAGGTAGGCCCAGTGGCAATCGGCGAAACTCTTGGTGTGAGAAATTCTACTTTAATGTAGCCGCCCTTACCAAAGACAGACTTCTGACTTAGAACCCTATATTCTACTCAAAATAGTAGATGAAAAATAAAATGTTTCAGGGGTTACACTTGTCCATTAGACGGTAAAATCTGACTTTTTTACGCATTTTTATCCTAACAGATGCTGTACCTCTACACGTATTCAAAGTTTATTAGCGGAACGTACCCAGTTAATAACCAGGTATTAGGAGATCATATTCATCGAACAAAAAATTATCTAGCATAGTTTTGAAAGGAAGAAAAAAAAAGTTAATTTTTATAATTTGTAAAAAGAAAATGACTTTTACTCTGTTATTTTGTGAAGTGATAAAAGTATGAAGTCCTTGCAATTCTTCGACCGAGTTTTACTACAATAGCTTCTGAAAAATAAACATAGACTAGTGCTATTATGAAGGACAACCAAGACCATTGTCATGTCAAATCCATTAGTAATTTAATCGACCTAGAATGAAGACGTAGGTGCTTCTCGGCGCCGGGAATATATTAAGGAACATCTTTCCGATAAATCTCGCGGACGTGGACTCCCTTAGAAGGCAGCCGACCATCTGCAAAGGAAGGCGCTTCATCACAATCCCGGGTGCGAAGCGGCAGGTATCACACGCACTTTAAAAGGTGATGGTAGCCTCTAAAAAATATACGCTCGTATCTAATTGGGAGATGAGATAGGGCTGAGGATTCCAAACCAATAGCCAGCGCCATTATGGAACGTACTTCTTTGGAGGAAACTGAATCCAAATCTTTTTTTTCACACGTTGACTTCCGTACCTTCATAACAAACCTGAGGGACACGTCAGAATTGTAACGTCTGATATTAATTTGTAAAGTTCATAGCTGAATAAAAAATTTTCATCATGTTCACCTGCAAGAATGGAACTTACGGAATTTTAGGTGAACATATGATTGACATTGCCGTTCACAACGGCAGTCATTTGCTATTAAAGACATATTAACCTATGAATTTTTGGTTTATGCGACACTCAACGGGTAGTTAGAAGTTAAGCCATTTTGTATGATAGGAATTAGTCCTATTTTTTCCCTAAGATTTTCCAACATTCTCCCAATACGAACTTCATCGTGCGCATATCCGGCCAATTAACATTTATTTATCATCAATTCATTATATTCATTATACAGAATTTTTTCGAAATGAAAAATTTGGGTCACAGGCGGGATTCGAACCTATGACTTTCGGCTAAATACACAGTGGCTCTACCACTTGAGCAACAGTGACTTCGACGGGGAGTCGAAATGAGAAGTATGTGGAATGGGAGATCTATGTCACGGTAGCTCAAGTCGTAGAGTACCAGAGTATTTAGCCGAAAGTCGTGGGTTCGAATACCGGCTGTGACACAAATTTTTCATTTCGAAAAAATTCTGTATAATTAATTGAGTATTTATATAATTAAGCATAAGCTAATAATATAATGGAAAAGTTATAAATAAGAAAATGTCTGTGGAAAGTTAATAATTACAAGAAATGGAGAGTTCTGAAACCCCAAAATTATACCAATGTCGGTTTTCTGTTAAAATCGAATTATTAGTTCAAACCTACAACTACATACAGATCTTGTTCAGTAAGCTGACATCGGCAGGTATCTAGAACTAATAATTTCCGTTCAAATATTATGATACTACAAAACGGTTTTATGACATAAAATAAATACTTCTGCACATTAGTCAGGAGATTTTCAACTCGAATACTTTTCCTGAAACCTAGAAACCCTCTCAATACTAACAAAAAATTACCTCGTAACCTAGTACTTTTTCGTCATCGGCATGTGTTAGGAAACTAGTGTTGGGATGGGAAGGGATGTGAGTAGTACAATCCGAGTACCAGTAGTGGGCAGAGGAACTTTCCTTTACACAGGAGAGTTTGAGGAGCCAGGAAGGTTTACTTACGTTACTTTAAAACTTTACTTACAAACCAAACTACCCCACACTCTAAAAGTTGATATGAACCAAGATACTAAAGTCTTTTTGGGCTTACATAGGTTATTGGACGGTGTGGTTAAATTTTTAACTTCTGATATATCCTAAGCGAGAAATTGTTAGCCTTCCTATGCATCAAATCCCACACTCCAATATTCTGGGAATCTGGTGTGAATGTTAAACTGCTACATGACAAATACGAGAACGAACCCCCAGGTTGGCCATCGAGCATGTTATTCCACAATTCAGGTCATCTAGAAAAAGGAAACGGCATAGTTTCTAGGGCCTATATGGGAAAGTGGATCAAGCAATCGTCCAAATCTAAGGTTACATCATAAATGAGTCATAAAGAGTCAAAGGGTTCGTGCCGACTCGAACCGAGCCCAGCCCCGGGGGATGGAAGCCCAAGGTTTCACAAAACCCCGGGCGTCGGTGGGATCGGAGATCTAAACCCTTCCAAACATTGAAGGTCTAATTGGAAAAAAAAAAAAATATATATATATATATATATATTGTGTAATTTAAAGAAAATACACAATCTTATTAGGCGTTTGGGGTATGAAAAAATAAGCCAAATTGTGTTGCTCTGTAAAAATACAAAAGTAATTTATTGCTAAGAACAAATGTAAATAAAAGTTTTATAATACAAATTTACCTGTAAAAATACAAAAGAAACGACAATTAGAGCTATTATTTGTATTAGATTTTCAACACTTTAACAATGCACTCCTAACTTATTATCTACTCTACAGGTTAACCTCCCTCTGAACAATCGAGTCGAGGTAGTGCGCGGCAAATTTGAAAATTAGTTTAAAAAAAGTATGAAGTTAATATGTAACGTCGACTTTCTTTTACATATATATAACGTTTTTGTTTTAATGAAAGTTATTACGGAAGGTTTACGAGTTCTAATGTCTAGCCGAAATTTTAAAATAGACGTCCTTTTTCTTCCTCCTTCTATTTCTTCTACCTGATGTGAGGGTTGGTGGTTTTAAAAAATAGGAAAACGAGTTCAATTAGTACCTAGATATTGGTTAAAATTGTTCAGTATGTATTAATTTGAACTACTTTCAAATCTTGAAGGTATCCATGAGCAATTACCATTGATGTCGCACTTTTCGTATATTTAAAAAAGTCCAATTAGATTTCGGATTTTTAAACTGCAAGTTATCATAAGTCATAATTGATAGATTCGAGGTGGAATTACAAAACAAATAATTTCTTTAAAACTGTATTTTCTATTTCCTAACAGTTCTGTACTAATATGTCGACGGTCCAGTTAACACTGAAGAGTGATGATGAAGTGATTGAATGACTACTCAGCATGGGAAGAATGGCTATTTATCATCTAGGAGGTACCATTAACCGGTGGTGTTCAATCGTAATTATATTATTTTAATAAAAAATTAATTGGTTTTTAAAAATAAGGGTTTTAATCGAAACAATTTGAAACCTTGTACATTTCTTTTATGAAATAAAACACTGGTGATTTAACGTTTTTTAATGAACTATAGCAAAAGGAAGCGTACGCCGCAGAAAAATGCTGCAGAATCTAGTCACTGGAACTGTCGCTATCTTCCCTTATCGAACCTTTCTTTGGAATCACCCTGATCTTCTGCCTCGACTTGGCATAATCTGGAGGACAACCCATGTCATCATCGTATTTGATGACTTCAAAACGGCTTAGCCTCCATTCTAGCATCTCGGTCGAAAAGTTGTCGCAGTTCCCCAGGTCGGTGAAGCCGACGATCTTGTCCACCGTCACGTTATCCTTGATCAGGATGATCGTCGGGATGATGGAGACATTGAGACGCAGTGTGATGAACGGACATTTCTCGACGTTCATCTTGATGAACTTGGCTTCCAGGTGTTTTCTTGTCAGCTCCTTCAGATGTTTGTCTAGTATTTGACATCTGTAAATATTTGTTATTCAGTTATGTTGAAAAATGGAATTTTTTATATATTATTTCCCATTGAAATCCTCTGTTACGCTTCGTTCTCTCTCTCGTTCTCACTCTCTCTTTCTCTCCCTTTCCCTTTCCCTTTCCCTCTCTCTCACACCCTCTCTCTCCGTTGAACATTCCACAAGAAATTTCTGCTATTTATGTACTTGGTGCATTTCCATTTTGTCTCGTTCTTTCTCTATCTATTTATCTCTCTACCCCACTCTCTCACTCTTTCTCTTTACCTGTCCCTGTCTCTCTTTGTCTATATCTCCCTCTCACTCTCTCTCTCTCTCTCTCTCTCTCTCTCTCTCTTTCGCTGTCCCACTCTCACTATCTCTCCCTCTCCCACTCTCTCTCACCCCTCTCTATCCCTTGAATATTCCACAAGAATTTTCTTTGGTGATTGATCAGCCTTCTCAGTTTAAATATAATTTTTTCCAAAAGGTTGATTGGGGATGAGGCCAGGAAGTCAGAGACAACATTTAGTTTCTTGTCGACTTTCGGCAGTATATCGCCTTCATCAGGACTCTCTGCCGAAAGCTCGACAAGAAAATAAATGTTGTTTCTGTCTTCCTGGCCTCATCCCCAATCTACCTTTTGGAAAGAAAATATATTCCACAAGAAATTTTCTGCTATTTATGTACCATGCATTTCCATTTTCTCTCATTCTTTCTCTATCTATTTATCTCTCTACCCACACTCTCTCGTTCTTTCTCTTTCCCTGACCCTGTCTCTCTCTCTCACTCAATCCCTCTCCCACTCCCTCTCTCTCACTCCCTCCCTTGAACATTCCACAAGAAATTGTCTGCTATTTACCTGCTGCATTTCCATTTTCTTATAACCCTCACTCACTTACTCTCTCTCTCTCTCTCTCTCTCTCTCTCTCTCATTTATTAACCGTAAAATTATTATAAATAATGGAATAATATTCATTTGCGACGGATGTTGAACTTTTGACAAGACATTTTCTGCTCTTTATTTGCATCATTTTCATTTTCTCTCTTTCTTTATCTATCTATCTTTGTACCATCACTCTCACTTTTCCCTCTTTTCCTGTTTCTCTCTCACTTTTTAACTGCAAAATTATTTGTAAAATCGAATAGCATTCATTTGAGAACGATGTATACACATGGTTGAACATTTCTCAAGAAAATGTCTGGTGTTTACCTGTTTTATTTACATTTTTTCTCTTTCTATCCCTATCTATCTTCCATCTATCTAACCCTCTACCGCTCTCTCTGATTTTTTTCTCTGTCTCTCACTCTTTTCTCTATCTTGCAGTTTGTATTCTTCCCTTCCCCTTGTCCTTCTCTAACACTATTTTCCCTCTCTCTCACTCTCTATTTCTCTCTCTCCTCCATTCAACTCTATTTACCAATTTATATGTTTCTCGCTCCTTCATCGACCTGTGAATTTGAAAACCAAATATTTTAAATTTATTTTAGTGCGTACCTTGTACTGGAAGGCTTGTAGAAATGGACGATAACATTTGAATTTTTGGTTATGTTGAAGAACTCTCTTTCATCGACCTCGTCGTATTCACCGTGTCCAAGGCGCAGCCAGTCTCGCTTCTGTTTATCCTCAGTGCGCAGAGTTTCCAGTCTCTTCTGCCGCAGGAGTTCCAACTCGTCGCCGTCGAGCCTGTTCAGCTTTTCCAGCTGGGCGTCAATCTGCTCCTCGACAACGTTCAACACCTTCTTGGCAACCTCCTCCTGTGCCTTCGCTTCAGACGCCGCGCACGCCATTTTCGTCTTTATTCTGATACTGGCTCCACTCAGCAAAATTTACACATGTTTTAAATACCGACGGTCTGTTTTTTATTGACAATCTTCCGCAAATATGACGTCAATTCGTGTTTGAATATGGATTTTCTATATTATTCTTCATGATTCTGTTCTTAACAATTTTCCTCTCGAACAATCTTGTCGTTTTAATGTTAAGGGGGCTCCAGAATGTGTCATTCTCCGACTAGTAGGGACGGATGCTCGGTTATTCGTCGAGCAACAATATTCGGTGCTCGCTGAGCTCGGTTTATTGTCGGTTTTCTTGTCCGTTTCAAAGGGCAGGAACATTCGGGAAGTACCCGTATTCAAAGCATCCACAGATTCGGGAATCAACTGTAACTGTACATACCTTTAACCAACTGTCAACTGCTATCAAAATCAACAGTAAAAGTATATTTCTATTTAATGCTAATTATTTTTCATTAATAAATGATTCCTTACCACTATAAATGAATTAATTTACACAGTAACATACAAATAAGAACGAGGATTTGGACACGTGGAAACGCATCGAAAGTAGGATGGAGCATCAGTACTCTGTTGCTGATGTAAAATAGGAGGATGTACTAATGACATCCTTTAGATTCTGCCTTAAAAAATCAAGTAGAACATCAAAAGCGGGGCTGATGTCGATTGTTTAAGGATACCAACCACCATCTCATCTTCTTACGCTTTTTTTTTCAATGAGTTTATAGACATTTTACAAAACAAAAACTGCTGCTGGTGCAATAACAGTTTCTCGGTTGACCATCACGATTGGTAGTAAGTTAAGGACTCGCACGCACTGGGCAAATACGTATTCGCATTTCCGCAACAACTAGGGGGTTATGCAAACCCCGCATGTGGGTATATATACATTTGGCAAATGCCAAGATATTAAAGACAAATATTCAGCCACAATCGGCATTCGGCAAATACCGCATGTCTGGAGTCACATTTATACAATTAAAAAAATTTGAAGCCCAGGAATAATCTCGATAACGGTATTGACTTCATGAAAAACAAATTAAATCCTTACAAGTTAAAAGTTACAGTTCTTTGTAATCCATTATATTCAGTGGTTTATCAAATTACTTCTTTCAATTAGTTAATCTTTTTATGCAAGGTTTTTGTTTGAAATTGAAAAGCTAGTGGCACGAGCGGGATTCGAACCCACGACCTTCGGCTAAATACGCCGCTCCCGTAACCACCTGAGCTATCGTGACTTCGATCCACTCGGACACCAACTCCCCATCTCAATGTGCAGCCTACAGCCATTTGAAAAATGCCAAAAAGGAGGGAAAATTCGAAAGGTTGTAGGTTGAGATGGGGAGTTTGGTGTCCGAGAAGATCGAAGTCACGATAGCAGCGGCATATTTAGCCGAATGTCGTGGGTTCGAATCCCGCTCGTGGCATTATTTTTATCATTTTAACCAAAAACCTTAAATAAAAAGATTAAGTTCTTTGTAATACAGTGACTGAGTCGTCCTTAAAAAAAACTTGAAATCGTCTATTAAAAAGATAATTATGTCAATTCGTAGACATATACAAGTTTTTAAATTTTCTCCTGATGATGACCATAAAATGGATCGAAAGCTTGACAGTTACAATTAAATTTGTTTTTTCATCAAGAACTTACCGTGATCCAGATTATTCGTGAATAAAAAGTTGTCGATACATATATCATTTGAAACAAAATAAAGAGCCACCTTTATTTTCTGTTGTTCACTTTGTTTTTATCGAAATAAATGATTTACATAGGTTGTTCCGAGTAGCAATGCTTAAGAATGTAACTGACATGAAACAAAAATTATTAAAAGCAACAAATTTAGATTATGTCATTTGATCTTTCCTCTATTTGGAGATGAACTATTTCTCTTAATTAATGAAGATGTGTATTAAGAAAAATAATGCTTAAACTTCCTTACTATCCACACGAGGCTGGCCAAATTGTTTAATATTGTCAAAGTAATATCACCATCAAAAATGTGCTTTAAAACATAACATAATAAAAGTTAAATATCATAGTCTGCCCAAAAGACACAAAGAATATCACATACCCTCCTTGCCGCATTGTCAAACACTCTCTCATTCTCTCGTTTTCTCATCCTATTTCTCTCTGCCACTTTTCCTCTTTCTCTCTCTCTTTTTTTCTTTTCTTTTCCTGCTCACCTTTTTCCTTTTTTTAATCTCTTACCAGAGAAATAGCCACTAGAGATTTTCCAATTTGTTATCATCTGAATAACTATTTTCTTCTCCCTCTCGCATTGTCCTCAGGTCCGTACTACTCGGTGTACTTATCTCTTCCAACATGAATATAATGTTATATACCTTGTTCATTTGTTGCATAGTATTCGGCGTTAAAATAATATATTCGTGATTCACTGTTTGCCAGATGTCAGGCCAATTTTGGTCATGGGATGTGCTTCGTACCTGGATCTGGTCTACTTTCCTTCTTGAGTTTAAGTGGGAAGCCAAATTGGGCGGTTTGACGTTGGATTCAATATCATTCCCAGCCTCTAATGGATCAGTCATTTAGCCCTAAACCATTAAGTTTGGCAACTGAGGGGGGACGCATGCCATCCTTGATCACCCGCTAATGGATCAAAACTCAGCTGTAAAAAAAACAGGACCAAGGTTTTACTTCCGTGAGCGGTCAGCGAGCTAATGAGGGTTAGGCAAGACGAAACCCGCTAGGGTTCAGGCTATCTATGGCAAGATATTATGATGGAAAGATTTATCAATTAAAACAGAAAAAATAAAATTGGAAAGCGATCGAATATCTGAGCCATTTATTCCTAATTACAGAGCAGGAAATTAGTCAACTTACATGAGCATGACGGATTAACAAGATGGTTAGTCTTGCCCAAAATCAATATTTGTTTCAATTCTTCCTCCTAGACGAAAAAATGTATTAATAAATTTATTTTGACTACAACTTGACACCTTTTAAATAAAAATCATAGATTGCTGACTCCAGCAGTACATGCAACTTTACCTGTTAGTAATATTTGTTTAGATAATTCCACTTAATTATGATTCCGTTTTTCACAGTTTGTTCTGTATAATTATTACTCAAGGATCTCGCCAATCTGCTCGTTATCACGCGAGATTATTACCACACTTTAAGATTTTAAAAAATCGAATAACTAGTTTTGGATTTTCTTAACGATCATAAAAAATTGACTTAGACAAAAGAAAGGATACGTTATGTTTTTATGCTGTTTGAACTGTTGCTGTTGTTTGGACTTCTTGATTCTTCAATTTTTGTCTTTCTGGTTCAGATTGTCTATCTGTTTCATGACTGTCTGTCTTCTGTCTGTTTGTCTGTCTCTCTCTCTCTCTCGCTCTCTCTCTCTCCCTATCTCTCTCTCTCTAGCTCTCTCTCTCTCCCTCTCTCTCTCTTTCTCTCTCTCTCTCTCTCTCTCTCTAACTAACTCACTCTCTTCTCTCTCTCTCTCTCTTTCTTTCCTCGTTTTTCTCTCCCCCACTATTTTTCAATTTATTTATCTACCTATTTCACTCTCGTTTATTATATCTTATTATATCACATTTTTTGTTCAGATTGTTTAACACTCTTTCATTTTTTCATCCGCGGAAAAAACTCTTTCATTCTACCTCTCAATTTCTTTCTCCTTTCTCACGATTTCTCCCTCTCTCACTCCCCCTTTCCCTCTTACCTCCTTTCAGACCTTTCCGACATGTTCTGTCGGAATCAAAAGAAGGGAATGAATTGAAACAGCCTAGTTCGTCCAGTACGTGACTGATTTTTGCCACGTCTTACCTAATATATTTCGCTGGGTGTGACACAACATAAGAGAATACGTCTTCCTCGGCCCTCGACGTCAGTATTAAAACATGAGATGACTTTTTCGGCAAAAACATCAGCACAGATCCCAGGTGGAGATTTCTCATTACGACCGCCTTAAAGTGTACGGCTGGATGGGTCCAGCTTGATGAATGCAGCAGTAGAAAAGCACGGCGGTATCATAAATCCTGCCGAGGCGGCGAAGATCCACCAGAGTTTGAGATTAAAACTAAAAGAAGAAATTATTAGTACCGCCAGTGATTCTGGGGTAAAACGTTTATGTCACACTTCTTGTTTGATACTAAACATAATAAACAACACTAATTTATGGATAATAAATAATAATATAATCAAATAGATGAGCAAGTTTGACCTTTTCTAAACTGAAAATAAACTACTTGGCTTGGTACAAAAACAAAGAGTAAATCTAATGCATTTGTTCGTTTTAAGCTACAGTTTTATCCGGATTTTTTCCCAACTTCATTGAAAGAACAAGAAAAATTATAGGCCATTCTTACTACAAAACAACATTGTTTTAACCTTACAAGAAAATTTGGTGTATATAAGACCTAATCTGTATAAAGGCTACAATCACAAGTTGTAATAAATTTTTACAGAAGAAATAACAAAAAATTATATACAATATTCGTACATCAAGTGGAAGGTGGAGATTTCCATGGTAAACCTTATAAATATAAAGTTGTTTTAAGTTCACTTTTAGGTTGTTCATTTTTTTAACCTTTGAAATATTTAAATATTACTTCGATGTTAATTGTTTTCAGGTGTTTTTATATAAGTTGAGTTTATCTTTTATTCCTTCTACAGTTTTTTCGTGAAAACCATAGACATGAAAAAATTATTTTTGACCTTTTCATATGACCTAAAATATTTTCATCTAACTCTCCAAGATACGAACGTAAGCCAAACAGGTTAAATTGCAATTCTATTAATGAAATGGCCACGATGTTTTTCCTTGATAAATTGTAATATTAAACCAATATGTTCGCTCATGGTTGAAGAATCTGGACATTTCCTTTTTCAGAAAAACAATACTCGAAAATATTTTTTTCGAAAGACTTGCCCCAAATTAAATCACGTTTAATGCAGGGTCAAAAAGCATTTCGAAAAACGATCATTGATGAATATGTTGTCGTTTGAAATAGTAGTTTCTATTCGTATCCCTTTATCTTGAAGTGTTAGACCAAATCTTTTGGGCTCATGAGAAATTATACAATA